AGTTTTACTTCTTATTTAAATGTCAACAAACTATAAATATGGTTTTTTGTGGTTTCTACATTAAAGCAAAATATTATATTTCAGATGCCAAGTGTGAATTGTTTGTTTAATAGCCCTAATTTTTACATTTCAAATTCCAAGTACTGTCTTTTTATTTCTCATAGTATTATATCCAGTTAAAGTTAAATCTAAATGTTGTTGTTCATATTTATTTTTTCATAATATTGTAGCAATACGCCGGGTTTCCAAAAACCCAGTGAGGATTATTTTAACACATAGTGAAATAATACATTATTGGTTGTTAATAAACCATTTTACATATTTTAGAAAAACTAATATTTGGGATTTGTAAAATATAAGTTTAAATCCTTTCGGCTTAGAAATCTACAAAGCTTATAGCAGCCCCTATTAATTAAGAATTTATTACCTTATTCTGTCAAACCCTTATGATATTAAAAGATAATCTGGTCTGTAACAAAACATTACCAGTTAAATTTAGGGTTATTTTACAAAACTATATTTTTTTGTATGACTCGCGTTCCTTAAGGCTATTTATCAATGATGACAAACTTGCATACACGTTCATCTTATGAAGACGTATTCATGGTATAAAGCAACCAATTATTCAGTGCAATGTGGAAAAATACAGATTTCATAAAATATGTACTACTCGTCATACAACTACAACTATTAATTTTCAAAGAAGGTTTTGAAGAGAGTACAGCAAAAATTTTAAATGATTAAGATCAGACAGAACAGCAGTTGGTGTCGATTAAGCTGTTACTTTAGAAGCGGTGCTAGTGAAACTCATTCAGATTTCATTCTACCTTCATAGAGAGGAGACTATCGGATAGCTAACTGTACTGTACCATTTCTAAGCTTGAGTACACTATTGCATACATTTACTTCCTATTACACCCAAAGATTGATAGGCGTCTAAATATTTCACAAGGCATGATTTTCTTTACACGTAAGACTGTTCTGCAGATCAATAATTTTCTACTGCAATACACTTGTACTGTATCACAATCAATATACATATAATAATCCTGGTTCCTCATATTTATTCACTCTTTAATTTAAACTTCATATTGTTCACAATAAACAATTCATTCATTAAAAGTCCAGTTGCAAATGTTGTTACAACTGTTGATTCTCATACAATGAGTACGTATTAAGTAGACCAGAATTGTGTAAATTAGTTTGTTTATAATTTTGCATATGTTTCGAACTGTTGCTCTGAAAAAACATACAAAATGTAGTAATATAATTTCTATTGATTGTCTAATAATAGCAACACATATTCATGATCTTTTAGACACTCGTCGTTTCTCTTATTCTTTGTAGTATTACATATATCCAGCAAACCTAGATTTGACATTTAAATATACTTCAACAATGGGTTGGAACTAAACAGAATAAAATCCAATTAAAAATTATATCTGTCTCAAAAAAAACCTTATTACAAAGAAAACTTTTCTGTTTCCACATAGAATCTTTTTTTTTTTGAGTGTTTAACACGGCTTCACTAAAACCTCCCCATTTATTTGTGTGTGATGACATTAAAGGGAATAAATATTTTCAAATAAATTATAATTCTTATATCCACGAGGCGCCACAAGACTATAAAAATAATACAAGACAAAATAAAGCAATAAAATATATGTATTATCTTTCTTGGCGTTAAAATAAATGTATACATATTTTATGAATATACGTTAAGTTGGTGACAAATCTCATTAATTAATCTGAGCAAAATATTATTCCTGGCGCCCCAATTTTATATAATATATAATAATATAAATAAACTGCCTATTTTAAATGCTATATTTACCTATAAAAGGAGTTTATTTTATTTCATAATTATTTACGAACGTCTTTATAATTAAATCACACCTTAAGAGGATACTCTTGAATTTGTAAGCAATAAAAATCCTTTTAATAGCCAGTATGAACAAAGTCCGATGTATTTATCAAATTACGTTTCCATTCGCTTTGTTATACTCACTATTAGAGAACAAACAGAAACAGGATTGAAACCTAATTATTGAGTCACTGTGTTTGAAACACAATCAATGGAACTTATGTACCAAATTAAATACTTTGTTTTACTTACTTCTTAGTCTCAATAATATTCAAATACTTTCTGAACCTTTTTTCTTATACGCTTTACTTATGTTGTTGTTGTTGGAAATCAAATGTAATATTTATATACAGATTATTAGCTAACACTTTCACGACTATTTAAAAATATAGGCTGTATTAAATCTAACGAGATATAAGAGATCATATAAAGTATAATACAACTTCAATGGAAAGAGACTTCTTTATACTAAATGTGACAAATGAGCACACTTAAACCTAAGTTTCAATTTAATTTTTCAACCTAAAAGATTTTCTATAGTAACTGGAGTTTGCATAAATAATAATCAATTCTTGTAGATTTTAGGACTAAGGAGTGTCTATACGACTGTGTTCAAATTAATAACAGTAAAAAAAGCAATAAATAAGAGACAATATCAGGAATTGTCGTGATAATCATTGAATTTGTGAAGTTTCACAAATTGTAAGTTATGTGCGATCATAATAAACGTATTGGTATATAACTATTTTGCAAAAACTAAAGAGAATTGTTAACCATTAAAAATGAAATCAATTAAAGTTATCCATATTATTTTCAGCGTTATTACATTTCATTCATTAAAAGGATATCTTTTAAAATAAATGACTCCTATCAACCCATTAATATATGTAATATGAACACTCGTTCATTATGCAACATTTACTATATTACCGTCCTTTATATTTGCAATATTAAATTCGAATATTTTCTCTTCAGTCCAAAATATATGTAGATGGGAAAACGGCGCGTAAGCTGAATTTAATGACAGCAATTTTCCAAGTGTTTGCCAACATATTTCACTAACATCTACCACCGTTGAAAATATAATTATAATATATTAACTATATTTACTTATACTAAACGTGACTTCTAATATTTTCAAAATAAAATTTAACTACGTATAAAAATTGTATCTTTCACATTATTTTTGGCTATATGAATAATGTATTGTACAGGAATTCAATTATCTTTATCTAGTGACCTTTTTTGAATTAATATTGTTTAACACCGAAACATTAGATCCTATATCTTGCTATATTTTTAACTAATTTTAAGTTTGTTTAGGTGTCCAAACCTGCTTAAATCGTCTTCATTATTGATTTAACTGTATAAACTAAACAGCATCACGTTTCTTTCTAACTGTGTTGTATACTTAAAAATGTTCTTGTTACATGTATGATAAAATGATATATAAAGACGTATATTGTTTAAAGAAGTTAATATACATTCGCTGATATTTTTTTTTTTGGTGAAAAATTTAACTGGTTCATTCGTATAATGAAAAAGCAATAGTATTTATTTCTTGTAAATATAGGGTATGTTTAATAGGAAAATAATTTTGATATATTTAAACTTTCCTTCTACGAGTATAAATAACTTGTAACATTAAAGATCTACATATATTTTACTAAGACAATACTACTCAATTTACTTTAACATTGATATATTGTTTTATTAGATTTATATATGTCTCCTAGAAAAACTTATTATTTTGTTTTTACTGAGAATACTCAAGGGAATATTATATTTATGAGACATATCAACGAGCATAAATTCATTTTTTTTTGTCATTTTCACTCGCTGTATTGCTTTGAATATATTTTCCACTGATTATTATGAAATATATAATAATACCGTATATATTATATACGGTATATGTAATAAAACCCGTCAGTTAAATATATGTTGAATGAGATGAGTACCGTTAATAATAAATTTGGGCATTTTTATGACGTTTCATAGTTAGAATGAGCATATGTGTAACTATTAGATAAAAAGTATGATGAAAATTATTAGAGACAATATAAAAGGCGAAACGTTTATTTTATTTTTGGTATATATATCATACAAAAACTGATCAACAGAAAAGTGGCCAAATAGAATCTTTTAAATATAAATTCATTTAAAATAATCATTTCAGAATACATTTCTGTACGAATTAAATTGACGTGTTAGTCAGTTTCTAAAGAGACTAACATTTATCAAAATTCAGCTTTAGTTGGGAGGAAACTTACGAAAGACTCAATAATTTATTAAGTATTAAATTAGTAAGAAAGATATTGTACAATTCATTCACTATGTCAAAGCAACATTTATTTTGAGTCACGTGATTACTGTGGTATTTAAATTTACATTTTTAACGATCAATAGCGTTTAAGAGAGAGCGAAGAGATTTTACAGAAATTAAATAGCTATTATAATATGCAAAAGCTCAATCAATCAATGATATATCCAGTAAGTGTGATAAACAAAGTTCTTCTTACAATATATACATATATTATTTCAAAACACTCCACCTCCATATAGTTTTATAAGAAACTAGTTCGAGTGTCCTCACACGTTTTGTTTAACTCTCAAACAACAACCATCTGACATTGTTGAAATTCTTGTCATGTCTTTTCTGTTCAGTTAAAGTTATATCTTATTCGCACAAACTCAAATACCGAAAATATTATCATTCAACGTAAGATCCACAAACTAAATAAGTTTATTATCTTGAAAAACAATGATATTAAAAAATTTAAGCATTTTATTACTGTCATTTATTTAGATTAATTAAAAAATAATATATAAGTAGATCACAACAAACTAAATAAATATTTACAATTTTGTATTGTCTTGAAATATATATTTTTCTGCATTAGAGAAAGAAAATCATATATTATCTGGATAATGGTTAAGAAGCGCGAAAGACATTAAACATATTTTATGGGCTTATTTGTATCAGATAACTTTATAATTAAAAACCTAGGCAAGAGACGAAACTACTCAGCATTCCATGGATTCACCGTGCGGGTGCCGGGTCCATCGCGTTGCAGGGAGAGGAGCTTCAACAGTGCCTGGGACTTGCGACCCAAGTGTAGGTTTAAGGGGCCCCTTAACTAACGCGCGTTATACGCTCACCTCCACTGTCCAAGCTCCTCTCCCTACCTAACCAAATTTGAAAAGAACCTACTAGGGCTGCCTTCGATATACGTTCCAAGAATGCATTAATGTGAGTTCTGGACAAGCCCAAGTCCTTTAGTAGGTTGTAGAGAGATTTCGCTTTTATACCTCTCGCTCCTACCTCTACCGCGTACAAATCTACTACGAACCTATTTCGAGTGAGTTCGTTTGTGAGCTCGTAATATTTGTTGACCTTGATGGTATGGTCTTTGGGGATGTTGGTTTCCCAAGGGACCGTAAGCTCTATCACCACTACGCGCTTTAAAATTCGCGAAAACAAAAATATATCCGGTCTGGAGGCCGACGCACAAATATCCTCGGGGATTTTATATTGTTTTTCATACGTGTCCATCATTATAGTCCAATCCGACTCCGCTTTAAGGATGGAGTAAGGCTTGACGTTTGATTTTGTAGCCCTAGTGCCTTTTCTCACAAAACCTACTGATCATTCGTTTGTGGTTATTTCCTTTTGCGCTCTGGCTACCGAAAGACTAACCGCTTCACGTATCACTTCTAGAACCCTATCGTGACGACGCGAGTATTGACCGCTGTCCAGGAGTACCCTACATCCCACCAGCAGATGCTTAGCAGTTCCAACTGCCTTTCCACAGATATAGCAAGTTTTTTCGGTACTTTTACCCCATCTTACTAAATTACTCTGATCTGGGAGAGTCATCTGGAACGCATTGAGATAGAATTTTAGCAATGCTGGCGACCAATCATAAATTAAAGTGCGCCATTTTAATGCTAATGGGATGCAAAAATCTCCTATGTCTAACCATTCGTTCTGCATTTCTAAATTCATTGCATGGATCTTATACTAATTATTTTCCATTTCTCTCCGTACATTTTTCCTACAATTATTGTTTTAATTTATCCTTGTTCAATAGTAGACATATAGGTACATTATTATACAATAATAATTATAATATGTATTATTGAATAAACTTAATTATTATTATCACCATAATTGCTTAATGTTCCAAAAGGGGCTTGATGTCAGACAGGCGGCCGGTCGTAAAAACAATTAGCCAAAACTATTCACAACATGTAAGGCAGACCCTAGCTAGATCTGAGAAATTACCAGAAAGAAGAAGAAGAAGAATCGCTTACTGCTGTCCAACTTTATTATCAATGAATGGTTTTTCAAAAATAATTTTCAAATAAAATTAATTTGCCGAATATCTGTCTTAAGTATGCAGAGATTAAAATAAAAGGGTAAGGCTGTGGTGAAATCCTTTGCCCTTTCCTAACATTATTATACCTTTTATGTTTCATACTAAAATTGTTCTTGTGTTAATGTAAAATATTCACGAAATTATTATTTTCTCTCAAAAACATTTTCTATTGTCAAGTAGTTATTGAAAACCAGTATTTATGTATTTTATTTCACTTATTACCTTATATTGATGAGCAACTTTTATGAAAAACAAAAACATAATAAGTATATGAATTTCTGAATTGTCCATTTCAGTTCAAACATAAAATAAATAAACCTATTTTATTAACTTCTAAAATTGTATCTGGATTTTTTCTTTTCATTCATATATGTATATTTCCAAAATTTGATTATTATTATTTAATTTGGAGGTGTAAATTTATATGTATATGAGAATTGATACGATAAAAGAAATATAGATTTTTTGGATCTGATAAATTTTTACATACAAGTACAATGTACATACTATATGTTTATTGTATATATTATTATTAGCACAATTCATGTTTTATTAAATGTATTCAAATTAGAATACCTAAGATAATTCATTTTAATTGTATTTATTCATTCATATTTAGCAGCAATATTTCATAAATCCTGCTTTAAATATACAAAGTTTATAAATTTTACCAAATCCTTCTAATGGAACGCCTGTACGAACATAAATTTGTGGTGAACTGATGTTTTAACAGAGAGAAGTACAGTTTATAAGATTATAGGTTAAAGCAATATTTAATATAATTTATTGATATCTTAAAAACACAGTTTTCGACTTACATAATGTTATAGTAATTATTTGTAAAAACTTAGAAAACCAAAGACTTGCGAGTCTTAAAAAAAAATCTCATTGAACTCGTAAAGTTTGTTACAAAAAAACATGTTTCTAGATTTCCTTAATGTTATTGAATACTCAACCTCAGAATGAATCTCTCGTTGCTTGTTCCAACTGTAATTTAATCGCCGCTTTAAGAAATGAAGAACCGAACGATATGTTAATTTGAGTTAAGCTAAGCAAAGCAAACAAATTCAATTAATATTCCCTTTAAAACATTAAGAATATTCTTGTTCACATATACTTTAGAAACGAGATATCACTTTTATATGCTTGGCATAATATTATTAATTTATTGTGGTTTTAAAATTGAGGTTTTTTTATTCTTGCATTGTTACAGGAAAATGAATAACGAAAGGAAATAATATTAATATTTAAGTCACTTTCTCTCCAGATTCGTAGTTAAAATATCATGAAGTCTGTAAACAAAACCCAATAACTAAGCAACTAAGAAAATCGAGACTAACTAATGTACTTGTGTAACTTTATGATATCGATTTAAAAAAACTGAACTCCAACATTAAGATTGCCTACCTAAATTGCTTTTTTTAGGACTTTATTTTTTAACTTTTTTTTTTTTTTTTTTATGCGAAAGGTGGCAAAAGAGCAGACGGCCCACTTGATGGAAGGTGGTAACCGCCGCCCATGGACATCCGCAACATCTTTGTTACGGATGCTTTGCCAACCTTGTTTTTTAGGGATAGGGAGGGGTTGGAATAAGGAAATGGTAGGAAAGGGTAGGAATAGGGAAAGGGCAACCGGCTCTCTCACTCATCGGACGAAACGCAGCCATTAATGGCTACTTCACGCCGATCTTCTGTGAGAGGGTGGTACTTCCCCGGTCGAGCCAGCCCATGTTCGAGCTGTAGTAACTGACTACAGCTAGGCTCTACCACCTGTTCTCTTGCCACCACAGTTGATACATGACTGCTTTCTAAGCTCAGATTAGTTTAAACCAAAATTGTAAAAACTCCAACAGTCACTACAAAGGCTTTTTCGTAACTATTCTTATTCCATATTTTAGTAATAATTTCCTTGTGAAAATTCACGATAACAATCTTTAATGTTAATCATATTGGAAAAAATTACTTAGAAATGTTTATAACAGACTATCTCAAAATCATTAGCATAGATTTTAAAGTTTAAAGAGATGGGTGTCAATTTACTATATTAATGTATAGATATAAGAAAATTTTTTGAAACAAAAAATTGTAAAACTATGAAATACAAAAATAAAGTAAAAAATAAGACTTTCCTTGACTGTTACCTCCGTAGTCAAATGAACTTATTTAACTTATATTTTCTTGAGCAAAATAAATTTTGTATCCGATTAATTATCAAAGGGCAGAAAAAAGGTTAATAAAACCGATCACTACAAAATAAAGAATAATAATTATTTTGTAACTAGTTTATTATTTCTAAGATGCACTTAAACAAATATTTACTACAACATTTGCTCCAATGCTTTTAATGCATAAATGATCTCACAATAATAGAACAACAGAAGTTTTCACTCAACAATTAAATGTTTTCCGGGACTGTTCTAAAAACTTAAATTGAATTATACTAGAACAGTACAAGTTTAATTGAAATTTTGAACTATACACGAGTTTTCTAAAACGAATAAAACTACTATATAATATGTATTTACTTTGCAAAACATAAATAACAACAATAGTTTAAGGCTAGCATAAATTTCTCTGTTAGGTAAACAGTCAGTAAGGCAACGAACTGCCCCTTATAAACATTTCTGAAATCAACCAGTCTTTGATTTAATAAATATATATGTAAAAATTAATAATGTTTAAACATTTCAACAAGAAAATGTAAATAATAATTTACTTTCAAGAACACTTAATAGAAAAATCACAAAGTACGATTACGATACGAAGTAAAACAATTCTAAATCTACGAGCTAAAAAAGAGTTCAGAAATTTTGCTTGTATTTTTATATATTACTTGTTTTTGCCCGCGACTTCGTCCGCGTTAGTTTCGTCATTCGTAATATATGTATAGCTGACCGGGCGAACTCTATTCCGTTTTAGAGGCCATTAATAATCAGGTTTCTCCTGTTTCAATCGAACAGAATGATTGAAATATTAGTTAGTTGTCAAATCTAATGTCAAAGAAAACGTTTTGTATGGGAAACAGAAAAGGGCTGTTTTTAGGGTTTTCCAGGCAATTATTCCAATTTTTCTCACCTTTTAAACCTTCCCTGGACTTCCAGGAGTATTTCAAGACTAAAATTAGCCAAATCGGTTCAGCCGTTCTCGAGTTTTAGCGAGACCAAGGAACAGCAATCCATTTTTATATATATAGAAGATAGATATAGATTAACTTGAAACCATTATTATATGGAATTGAAAGTATAAGAAATTTCAAAACTGTAACTGGTTTTATCTTTGGTAATTAATGGTATATTAATACAAAATATTCACATTCATGATAATAGAAAATACTTGATTTTGAAAAAAGAATTTTAGTAATGAAACTTCTTTAGACAAATAGTCTTGACATTAATTGAAGGAATTTATCATTATCATCTTTCTTTTGCTATAACAACGTAATGAGAAAACATCTCTTTATTATAAACTAGATAAGAACCTTTACTTAAAGGCATTTATTTGAATTGAACTTAAATGTCATATGTATTTATTTTTGGACAATTAATACATGAGCGATTCCTGAGCAACTTCATACTTGAGCGATTAACACCAAAATCAATATTTTTTAAATATTTATAACCTTTTCTTGTTAAAACAGCCACCCACGCTTAAAATTACTCGAAATAGCTCTGTTGCCTACATTAGAATTTATTCAGAATGATACTTGCATTCTTTAACCTTTACTCTTTTCTTATTTATACCTCAAAATTATTTTATATTTTAGGAAAAAATACAATTTTCAACATCCTTAAAATTATTTTCTTATTTGTCATATACATATAAATAGTGGTGAGAAAATATAAAACTAACCATTAAAAAAAGTTAATTAGAATTCGCCAATTTTAGATCTTTTCCATCCTACTATATTATTACTATAATATTCTTACCGTATTTAAACTTTTCTGATGCTCTTTTTAATTTTATCAGTATTTCATTGGAATTAAGCAAAACGTAAAGATCTAGTTATCTACAGTTCCAATAATGAAACAATTCTATTTGTTGCAGAAATCGACGCGGTGAAACTTCTTCGCATTCAATGGACCTAGCGTGCGGATCCCAGGTCCATCGTGTTGCAGGGAGAAATGCTTCAACAGTGCCTGGGACTTGCTAACCAGGTGTAGGTTTAAGGGGACTATCTAACAACCTTTGTAATGTACGTTAAACGTTGACTTCTGCGGTCCAAATTCCTCTCTATACGTAACAAAAATTGAAAAGAACCTACTAAATCTGTCTTCGAAGTACGATCAAAAAATTTATTAATATTAGTTCTGAACAGGCCCAAGTCTTTTAGTAGGTTGTAGAGTGATTTAACCTCCTTCTCCCACTTTTACGGCGTACAAATCCACGACGAACCTATTCCTAGGGAGTGCGTTAGCGGGCTCATAATATTTATTGACCTTGATGGCATAGTCTTGAGGGGTGTTGGTTTCCCCAGAAGTAGTAAGCTCTATCATTACAACGCTCGTTTTATCTATTGTCTCTTATACGTATCTATCATCGTAATCAAATCCGAATCCGCTTTAAGAATATAGTAAAGTTAACAATTCCATAAAATTTTCTTTGATGGACAAACGGTT